TCTTCTTGGAAAAGTACATTCTCTGACATGTCAGAGTAACAAGGTTGAAACTCAGACTGACAGAAACATTTCTGGGAAAGTGTGCTGGAACACCTTCAAGAGTTTCTGCTAACAGTGCAGCCCAGCATTTATAATGTACAGCATGGCTAAAATTTGGAGGGTGTTTTCTCCATTGTAAAGAATTATATAATTACACATTAATTAATAATGATACATTATTTTTCTGTGGTTCATACACTATGAAAAATGCCCTGTTAGAATCATATGTGATCTTTTGAGACAATGTGAAGAGGAGTGAAAACATCTTTACACTTTCTAAGAAGCACTGCATTATAGATTTATTCACCCAGTTGTTCTGAGGAAACCTTAGCAACACAGTAAGTCTCTCGTGCCACAGCAGATCTCTTCAGGAACCTATACCTTTGCATAACTTTCAGATTAGAAAGATTGAACTGAATTTGGGCTGACAAGAGAAGAGCACCTAGGGCAAATAAAGTCCTCACTTTTTTTTTTTTTTTGAAGACTACATGTTGAGAAATAGTGTTGAGGCGTGGAACCTCAAGTGAGACAAATGTTTTGAACAAAATTCTAATGAACAACTGCTTCTGGGAAAGAGAAGAAAGAGAACTGGCTGTACTTCCTCTTCTTCCATGTTCACAGATTGTATCTTATTAACCAGGTGTATTTCAGGGGAGAGAATAATTGCTTAGAGCTGGGAGAATTCTTTTCACACATCTATAATAAAATCACCTCTAATTGTACCTTTATTCAAATACAGGCCAGCAATTATGAAAAAAAGTCAGAAAATCACTTCATACTTTACATTTTATTTAACTGCTTGTGTTCCAAGATGTCTCTGGAGTGAAAATGGGGACGACGTCTGATTCTAACCTCATTTTGAAGTGTGTAATCTTCAGCCTGTGGGACAGAATTTGCAATGGATTCAGTTGCAGACTTTTGTTTGTGGGATGCCTTTGAGACATTTGTGCATGGAAGGATGGATAATGGCATAGTATGTAAGAACAGGAAATGGAGCTTGACTATAAGTGAAATGCTTTCTATGGCAGAAAAAACTCTTATTAATCCTAGGCACATATTGAAATTATCTGAAATAACTTATGATATTCTGTGCAGCAAACAGAGTTATCATGGAAAGAGAAAAATAAAGAAAAAAAATAAGAAAATCATTGCAAGGATAAAATGGAGAAGAAGCTTAAGTCTTGGCCTGATAGGGCTTTCCTTGAATTTGTTTTTTTTGGGCTTAATTAATGATAATGGTTTGGATTATTGCATGGATTGTTCTCTGCAAAATAAATTCTAACATTGTATCTTTACTAAGCACTGACAGAGCCAGATTGTCCCACTTTATTTTTTAAAATGAGCTCATTGTTTCTGCTACTCCTTATGAGATGGTTTCTTCAATAAGAGGAAACAAACAAACCAACCACCCAAACAAACAGCTGTCTTCCTCTCAGTAATTCTGTTTAATATTTGACATGTTTTGCTGAGTGTTGGATCAACATGATACTTCGAATTTCAATAATTCTTTTCTTAAATAGCTACCCTGAGGTCTCCCTATTAATGCTCTTTAAAAACACTATTGCACAATAAATACCAGGGGTCCTACTAGGTTATCCGGTCACCCTCAGGGCTTTTTTAAAGTGTCTCCATCAGACAGCTCCACTGGTGCAAGCTGACTATAGAACCACCAAATCCTGGATTAGAGCCCAAATCAAGGGAAAGAAAAATGACTACCAGGCCATTAATTCTCACTAGTGGCCCCACCATTTTGTTCAACCAATTTTGATGTAACTTGAGAAAAAGAACATTTGGCTATTTCATGAACTTGTGGGTAGTCATGTTCCAATGTCTCTATACAAATACAGAGGAAAAGAAACTGATAAGTAAAAGGAAAATGCTAGAATGTGGGGAATCAATTGTGTTTTTATGTGTAAGAAAATAGAGAAAGCAACAAAAGTAAAATAATATGGAGTGAGGATTTGGTCATAATTCTGCAGATAAATTCACACTAATAAATACATATTGCTCATACTAGCTTGTTTTTCTTTGGAGCTCTTTACCAAAACCCAAGCATGATATAATGCCGATATATAAATGATTTTTGACATAGAGTTACTTTTATGTATAAGTATATAAAGATATATAAGCAGTGTCTATAATAGATATGCTTTTTATATAATTGTAGTAATTCTATTATGAGGGAACAAAAAGATGTGATAGTACAAGCAGCATCAAAGAGAAGAGGATACATGCACAGTGTTTTTTATAGTATTTTAGAAGTTCTATTTGGCAAATAGAACTAGAAAACTCAGATTGAGTCTGTGGAGATGAACATAAAGGTCTCTGGGAAGTCTGCTCAAGTTAAGAAACTAATCTGTGAAGTTTCTGGGCGGACGGTGAGGAGAACACCCATGCTTAGACACCTAACCACTCTCTTCAGGTGCTCTGATAGAAATATCTTTACCTTTATCTTAACCTGATATTATTTTAAAGTAAGTTGAATGGCAGTAAAAATTTGTTAAAATTATCCAGACCTTTTCAAAGGCACTTTTCATGTAATCCGATACAGTATATTAAATGTTTTCAAAATGTCTTCATATCACCAATGCTTTCAGGTTGAGTTTTCACTGCTTTTCAGCTTGCACTGACAAAAGTTGGGAAAAATGGAAAAAGGAAGCCAAGTTGGGGGGCTCCTAGAACTGTGTTTGCATTCACTCCATATTATGAATTAGATACGAATACAAGTTAGGATACAACTTGTATACAAGTTGGAAATATTCCAGCTGTAACAAAATTTCTCTCCACACCAGTCAGACTTTCATGTTGGCATCATAAACTGGATCAAATTCAGTAACAAAATCAGCTTCAGCTGGTTGTTCTGATTTTAATATATTGATGCCCACCTTTTACATTTTTACACATAAATCTAGAAAGATTGGAACATGTGTAATACATTCAATATGGGCTTAGTTCTATAATTTATGCCCAACAGGGTGGTGAAGTCTGGATAAAGACAAAATAGAGGTTATGAGACTATGGTTTTGGGTTTTGGTTGTTTTTTTTTTTAATTTTTCAAGAATTATAATCTCTCTTGAAAGCACGTTTTTCCCAAAGACCTAGAAAATTGAAAGAATCATGTAGTGGTTTCTTGAATAGTTGATATGTTGCAAAGTCTGTATTTTCAGACCAATATTTTAGAGATCACTGAGCATAGGACAGAATAAGAAGAAAGTAATGAAGAAGAAAAACAATAACATTAAATACTTTCTTCCTTCTTCACAAATCTTTCCTTTTATTCCTTTTGTTCCACTGTTTTCTTAATATACTCCCCTATTTTCTGGAAGGTCTACTAAATTTTAGAGAGACAATACTTGTTCTAATTTCTGTGAGTCATGTTGAGGTAATTATTTCAGGCTTCAAACATTTTGATGTGGATTTGTACAGTTAATTGTGGGGTTGAGTAACCAGCTTACCACTACTATTGGGAAACAGCTGGAAGCATACATTTCAGATCTGATCTCAGATTTATAGCCATGTTTGGCCATATATATTCACTATTATTTTTTTTTTAATTAATGCATATTTCTATTTTCTATGGGTATTCTTTGTAAGGAAAAGAGAACAGGACCTCTTAAAGTCTGAAAGATAATTTAAATGGGTATGATTCTCTTAGGTGTTTGGTTTACATCAAAGTTTTCAAAGGAGACTGGCACATCTCCAATCTTTCCTCTTACTCCCCCCCTCTGTTCTGCTTCCAAAAAGAACACAACCAGTAACAATTAGCAATTACAGTTAATACACCGTGACTTTGAAAGACCAGAAATATGTGTGGTATACAATGAACCAAAGTACTGAAACCTGTTTCTATTAATTGACCTTTAATATTAGCATTTTTAGACAGACTTTTAGAAAAAAATATTTTTAGGCTCAGTCCCAGGCAAAGCTTGGTAATACAAACATAAAAGGAAGCTTAAATAGGAGGGGGATAAAATGAGATTAATAGGAAATAAATGCAAATATCCAGCATGTGAAAGGATCACATACGGGACCAAGGTTATTTTGGGTATCTGTTGGCTAAGGTCAGTAATGTGAGAGTTGCATGATACAGGAAGATCAGCAGAGTCCTGCTGTCCAAGGTATTTGCAAGATTGTGTAACTGCTCATGTCCCTGTTGTTTTGAAAGACATCAGCTGAGAAAGTCTTTCTGGTGGGGTTTTATTTGGTTGATTTGCTGTAGTTTTTTTGTGGGTTTTTTGTTTCTTATTTTCTTTTTACCTCATATTGACCATAGACTCATAGAATATATTTTGATTTGGAAAGAACCCATCAGGATTGTTGAGGCCAGCTCCTGCTCCCTGACACTGTAGCACATTATGACAAAAAAATTCAAGACAGGGAAATGTTCAGAACAGAACTGATTGCTCAGAAGCAGAAAGGGGTGAGATAAGAAGAGATTCAGAAGGTAGATTTAAAATAAGATAAATCAGTGGAGTAAAAAAAGCAAAGAGAAAATGGATGGTAGGTCTGTGCCAGATTTGATCTATTATTAATCAGCATTCTGGTTCTCTAAGAATTAACCAGATCTTGCCATCTGTTCATCATCCCTCATGGAAACCATTAAAAACAGAACAATGTAGGTGTTTGCACTTAACCTGAAATGAAAAAGACCCTTAAATTTTTTTGATTTTATGCAGAAAAATGGAATTGGGAAGTTGGTAATTCTGCAGCAGTCTAAGTTGGATAATTAAACAGACAAGAAATGAAGAATGAATTAAGGGGAAGCTGTGGGTACCTCTGTTACACAGTTACTCTCCAACTCTGTTGGACAAACACACAAACCTCACCCTCCCACTCTCCTTACTTACTTAGGTTTAGGGGGTTTTTTTCCCCAAAAAAAAAAAAAAAAAAAAAAAAAAAAAGAAAAAAGGAGAAAAAAATAAATTTTACTCATGGTTAATTTCAGAGAATATAGGTCTGTTAGGATGTCATGGTTTAACACAGCTTGGTTTTTAGTTAAAGAGAAAATCCATCAGTTACAAAGTGGTTCCCTGTATGGACCTTGGCAGCTTCCTTTGGACTTGACAGAACCAATTGTCTAGTTTGGATACTGAGAACCTGCTAAACCACTTAAAAGAGCTGAATACGCTTCTGTGAATCACATTTAAGAAAAAAAGAATCCGCGGGAATCTCTCTCTCCTGCTCCAGGCCCTTGAAGAGCGAAGTTCGCCCCGCTGCTGGCGCGGAGGCCCGGCGGGACAGGGGAGCCCTGCTAACATATTGCCGACACTAAGCCCTGCCCGGCCGCCGGCCTGGGCCGAGCCGCGGTCCGCCGGGCCCCGGGAGCAGATCCGGGCCAGGCCGGGCCGTGGCCAGGGCTGCTGAGGTTCTGCCTGGCCGTTTCCTGCCGCCGCTTTCATCAGCCATCCCCGGGCAGGGAAGCCACGGTCCCGCGGCCCGGCTGGCTCTGCCCGGCTGCTGAGCTCCTTGCCGCCGCCCCTCAGCGCGGCCGCTGCCCAGCAGAGACCACGGCGCCAACAGCGAGAGGTAAGCTCCTGATGCGGGGCCCGGGCAAGATGAACTCTTTCAGCGCTGTAAAGCTCCCCAGAACAGATGAAACTTACAGACTTCAGTCTTCTGAGTCAGAGGAAAGGGAAGGGTGAAGACACCTAAAGAAAACGACATGGGGGTGCCTAGGTCAGTGGAGTCAAATCCCAGATGGGAGGAGAATGAGGAGATGCCTTAGTGTTGGGCTGAAACTCCTGTAAAGCCATAGTGATGGACTATGATACACTGAAATGTCCCTGTAGTTCATGAAAAAGCATAGGAGGATGGAGCATTCAAACTATAGACGTGAGCAAAGGCACCCGTGTTGAAGCAAACAGATGTTGGAGTAGCTGTGATCCAAATGAGAAGCTTTAACAGAGATAAGAGAGATGAAGACCCTTTTCCCCCTGGGAAAAAGAAGACCTCTGTTCCCAGAGATGAAGATGATCGCAGAGATAGATGAAGGGAACCCTTGCTGCTGAGCAACTCATTCTTAAAAGTACACCTCATTAGCAAAAGATTGAGTCATTATAAACAGTTTCAGAGAAAACTGTAAGTTGAGGAGAGGGATTTTCACACTGCAAACAGATTTTACTTTCCCAGGCGGCTGACTCGCTGTGATGTTGAAGTCACGAGAGAACCATTTCTTGTGAAATCTCCATCGCATGGCAAGAGAAACGCCTCTCCCTAAGTTGAACTGACAAAAGACAATTTTACAGGTGGAAAGCTGACTGAAAGTCCCCAGTTTTGTCTCTTTATGTTGTTAGTAAGAGTGTAGGGGGAGAAGTGTTCTGAAGGTTTATTCTGATATCTTATTGGCTTTCTTTTAATTCTGTTAATAGAGTTTTCTTTATATCCTTTAAAGTTTGAGCCTGCTTTGCTCTCCTCTTAATCATATCTTGCAGCAGAAAATGAGTGAATTATTTTAGTGGGTGCATGGGCATTTAGCCAGCATTAGACACAAAAAGAAGTAATAGTTAAAACCATTAAGGAATTAATATAGTATCAGCATAGGCAGGATCAAGGCAAGGATGAATTCTGGCAATGCTCCAGACAGTCATATGCTAAGAGAGACATAACCACTGGGATATGAGGGAAAATAGTTCTGGTTCAGGAAAAAATTCAGTGCTTAAACAAGTTGCTTTGTTTTTTCATATGAGATCACAGACCTGCTCCTTTAAGCTCACTGATCTGTACTAAGATAAAAACTGACACTTTCCTTCTTTCTAAATAGTTTGATTTAAAATCAAAAGGTCTATGCTTGATTGTTTCTTCCTTATCCAACTCTTAAATCCATATTCCCCCCTGAATTTCATGACTATAGTTCTGGTGTGAAACTTTGGTATTGAGAGAGATGGAATATAATGCCAATATCCTTTTCTTAGGCTATTTTGTTGTTTACTTCTTAATTCTGGAACTTAAGATTATTTTTGTAATTATTTTTTCCATCTAGTAATAAGCTAAAAGAAATAGTATAATACATTTTAATGTTTTAATAATAGGAAAGCAATTTGAATTAGAACTTGTTGCTGTAGCTGCATTCTGGTCCCATGTGAACATGCCAAGGAAACCATGCATAGAATGAAATTTTGACACAGTGATCTGGATTCAAATACTGTATTACCTCATTTCAATGATGAAGAGATTTAGTATGTTAGTTTCTATGCTGCTGATAGATGTACCTGCTGAGGCTGGTATGTTCCACAGTAGCTTTATGTCTTGATTTTTTTTCTGCAGAACAGCAAAGGAATGGCCGTGAATTTTCCAAGCTTTCTGAACATGGTCTGTATGAGTTTTTATAGAGTAAATTGCCTGAATTCAGGCATTGAGTGGCTAAAATTCTGAAAAATGTACTTAATAAATGGGTAAAACAAACCATTTACTGTTGAAAAATGTTTGAATCCTTTAATTTTCATGGCTCAATTCTACACTACTGCTTCTCACTGCAGTAAAAAAAAAAATGAAGCCTCCGTCCGGTCTCAGCCCAAACACTGAGATCGGTGGCTCCACCAGATTCAGCCACTGGGTGCAGAGAGACAGGCAGTCCTGACTTGGTTGTCCAGAACAAAATAGTTTAATGAAAATAACTAAATTAAATGAGTTGTATGGAACAAACTGGGAAAGGAGGTGCAAGGAAGCTTTTAGCATGCACAAGGGCAGTGGCAAAAAAAGCAGGGAGTAGAGTGTATCAGGGGTACATATATGTAAACTTGGATAAGGGGCAGAGTAAGGGAGAGGTTTAAGGAGAGGATCCCATGAGGAAAGGCGGTTAAGAATATTAAAATTTTTGCACCAAAACTTAACCAATTATGATACAGAGAATGAAGAACCTTCTAGCTAAATGAACATACTTGAAACAGGGACTTAGGCGACCCGTTCTCCCTTAATAGAGGGTTTTCCCATGGCCTTAGGCTGTCGTTATCAACTACTTTATTAGAACCAAACCCAACAAAAACATTATACATGTTTTGCTTAGTAACAAAAATTACTTATTATATAGTGGGAGAATATGTTCAATTTAACTAAACCACAAGGAAACAAGTACCTTTTAATTGAGGAAGTGAGACAATTCTGTTTTGTACATTATTATGCAGCCAAGAGATAACTATATTTGGGAAAGCCTTTGAAAATGCTTAAGAAATTATTTGAGGGTAGTCAATAATTTGTTTCAATTTTTAGATTTCTTTTGTTAGGGGAGACTAGTTTCATGGATAATGTGTCACACAACATTACCTCTTGTAAGATGAGGATGTTCCATAACACATGGTTAGAAGAGTTCCTGCAAGACCTTTGGCACATATTTTTGAAAGACCAGTGGAAATTTCTCTCATTTCTCTTAGCCCGTTGCAAAATTTTGGCCTTCATCTAGCTGTTTGCTGTCAGTTTGCTTGTGAATACCTTAAAAGTAGCTGCTTTCTGAAAAATGAGGAAGATTAATTATTTCATGTTTGTAAAGCACCATGAGATTCTTACTAAGATTATGTTGCAAAAGCAACATATTATTCCCTTCTTCTTCAGGATTAAGATTCATTAGTGGTCCATAAGTCATACCAAAGATCTCTAGACCCCATGAGAACAGAATCTACTTTTTTCTATAATCTATAGCTGTAAATATAAATTTTATCATTGTACAAGTCCTCAAAACAAGTTGAAACAGCCTTTCAGCATCAAGTCAGAAGACTGCTTCAGAGCAGAAAACCTGGAATGGCCACCCTACTGATTCTTCTGTTGTGCTTCAGAAATCTTTTTGCCTGGTCTTCCTCAAACAATGTGATGTTCTCATTTTTTACACTATTGCCAAACACATAACTCTTGAATTAATGTTAGGCATACTCGTTGTGATTTAAACTGTCTAGTTTCTGTGCAGCATGGAACTGGAATTTCACATCTTACCTGATGCAAACAAGAAGGAAACTGATAAGAGAAAACAGTATTTTTTGTTTAAATGTAAGCCTATGCTTACATTTAAGCATTACATTTAAGCTTATGTTTAGGCTCTGCAGATAATGTGTTAATTGTCTGTAATCTGTAATCAGTTTTAATCTGCAATGATTCTGTTATGGAACATGTGAATATAGTTTTATTATGGATTTTAAATGTTCTAATTTATTCATAAACTAGAAGAAGGAGCAGCATGTGAAAATATTGTGTCATGTTAGGTATTTCCTATACAATAGCAGAGAGTGGGGATGTGGGTTCTGTCTAAAAATAAAATGTCACATAATTCTAAGAGAAGGAGGGAGACTTGGAGCTACACACGTCAGCCTCAAGCCCCTGCTGATGGCCTGCTCATAACCTCAATTTCTTAAGAACACAACATGAAGCTGTCTTATAGAAAATAGTGTTCATCTGAATGCACTTTTTTTTACCTGTGATAAAGTTATTTTATATACATATATAATTTCACAGAGGTTTGTGTCATTATCTTGCTTCCAAGAAAGATTTTATTAGTCTGCTTGATTATTTTTAAGCACAAAATTTCACTTTTGTGAAAGAAGACAATCTTTTGTGCTAGATGGCAATTATAATTATATAATTGTGTAATTGCTTACTACAGGCATAAGACATTTTGGAAATGAATCAAGAATAAGGTACTAAGTGTTTAGTGACGTTTTAATCAACTAAAGTCAACTTGACAGTTTCCAGGTAGTGTGTTGTTTCACCCTTCAGAGTACAGAATAAATATGAGTGGTCCATAAGTAGAAGACAAACAGAGATACCCATATTTAAATACATAAAATATAAAATATACATAAAATATAAAATGTAAATACATACAGTTTGAATATATAAATAGAACTGTAAGTATAGCTAGAAGAAAATGAAATCACATTTTTCTAATGTATAAGTACTATGCTATAGAAAAAAAGAGATGTGTCACAAAGGGACTACTCTCAAAAGTAGTCTCAGGGTTAGTCATAGAAGAAGACCTTTCTAATCAAGAGGATGTTTCACATATAACTTCAATAAGACTCTGTCTGAATAATCTTGTCTTTCTTGTCTGAAAATACTTGCTTAGAAGTGGCTGTAAGATTAATATAAGAATTTTCCTGGTAGAAAACTATAGAAGTTTACTGCACTCTGCTTCAGTTTTTCTGCTACTTTATGGAACTAATTTTTTCTTATTTTCAAATCAAGTATCAACCTGACTTACACCTCACTCTGTACCATGCTGATCATTTTTTGCATGATGTATTCTCAACTTCAGTAAATCAGTGTATATTTACATTGACATTATTACCATTATTCTTATTGACTCAATTGCTAAGGCCATTGAGTTAAGTAAATTGATGTATAGTAGCCTCTAAAGGCTGGCAGAGGGGTTTTGAAGAAGTGGACAGTAAACTGGAAAGGTGCAGTTTCCCATAAGGCTTAGATTACTGGTAGTAGAATACTGACCACATCCCTTTTTCTGGTCCTGTAGAGGTCTGTGGTTTTGCCTTTCTAGAAATTGTCAGCTTTAGACTGAAGCAGAACCTTTTGCATCTGAGAAAAACGTGAGTTAAGAGGAAAGCATTTAACTAGCCAGCATGTTTCATATTTTGGAGTCCTCTCTACTGGCAGAAAACAGTCATTAAGTCTGCTACATTATTTATGTGCCTCATTTATTCTTGATTTTTCTTATAAATTTCCTACTATAAAATGCACCCCACCAGTAGCACTCTTAATACTGTAGCACTCCATATGAAAGAGATCTTACGTTTGGGAAATGTATTCCTAGTGATGGTTTCAAAATGAGCAGCATTTTTCAGGTTTGACAATCTGCATTTTCTCTAGCTTTTTTGCATGTTTTGGAAAAGGCAACAGAAGCATCCTCCTTTTGTCTGACCATCAAGAACAAATTGAAATGTAATTAAGTAGTGAAGCACAGTCCAGCAGTCCCTCTGTAGAGATAAGAAATTAGAGAGGAAGAGTCATTTCCGATGTTATTCAGCAAAAGCTTCATAGATTTATGGAGTAGTTTGTGTTGGAAGCAACCTCTTGAGGTCATCTAGTCTGATCCCTCCAGCATGGGAGGGATCTCCTTCAACTAGAAGAGTTTCCTTAGAGCTCTGAATGTTCCCAGTGATGGGATACCTACTACCTCTCTGGGTAACCTGTGACAGTGTTTCACCACCCTCTTCATAAAAAGTTTTTTTCCTTATACCTAAATCGGCCTTCTTCCAGTTTAAAGTCATTACCCCTTATCCCACTGCAACAGGCCATGCTAAAATGTTTATAAGCCCTAATTCAGTACTGGAAAGGCTCAGAGAGGTTGTCCCAGAGCCTTCTCTTCAGGCTGAACAACACCAAAGCTTTTCCTCATGCAACAGGAGCTCCTCCATCCCTTTAATCTGATATATTGCACGCCTTTAAAGAATAGTAAATCTTCTCATTTTTAAACTGTCTCTAGGCTCATTTCATACACTTACAGCCTCATTGATAGTTTTCTATGCTATGGTCCAGGCCCACATGTAGTCTGGAACAAGATGTACCTTATCCAGAATTTAAAAAAAACAAAACTGATCAGCATCTTCTCCATAATTTTTACCCATCTTCTGCAAATAGTTTTGTCAATTTCTGCCGGTCAGAAACCCATGAATTTACCACTAGAAATAACACTCCTAGGTGGCACTGGTATTTGGTTGACTGAACCAACTGCATAATAGAAGTAACTGGGCAGTAGCAACCTTTTTTCTTGTTTCTTCTCAATAAATTAAAGGTCAGCTTTGAAAGTTGCAGCTCATGATCAGTGAGAAAATTTTTGTCCAGTATTCATCATGGTAAAAATGATAATTTGGTAAAAGATTTTTTTCTCAGCGATCCTGGTTGCTGCTGAACAGCTGTAGATTGCTAGGGAGAAAGTATTTTGAATATGTCAGCAATAACCACATTTTCAAAAATGGTTACATTTTACAATTACAACATCAAAATATATAGAAGATGTTGTAAGATTTATATTTGTGCCACAGAGCTTCAATACGATTTTCAGAAGCGCTTATGAGCTAAAAGCTTCTGGGACTTATGTGTAACTTAAGTAATTCAGGTTCTTGGAAATTTCACTTTGTTTCAGATGTGGCAGTAAAGGACAATGTTGTACATACAGGGAAAAGGCAGAGCTGTGAGGATGAAGCATGAAGTAATTGGAAGTTCTTCAAATGGGCTGGTAGGTACCCCAGACAGATGAAGTAGGCCTTTCGCACTGTAAAAGAAGAATACAAATAAGTATCACATATTTGCAAATAGTAAGAAAAATGCAGTTTGTAAATATTTCTTCTGTCATAACCCTTTATCCTTTAATCAATTTTTCAAACCTTTATTCACATTTTAACTGCCACAGATCTGATCAGATAAAATACAGTAACTCAGGTTGTAAATGAATTAATCAGTCCTGTATCAGTACACAAGAAACTTGCCTAGTAGAAGCACTGGATCATCAGTACATGTTCAGGTACTTGCCAAACAAGTACTTGCATGTGTTTATCTAATGATGGACCCTCAGAAGGAGAAAAGTACAGAATTTGGTCTAATGTCAGGATACTATTCCCTACATCCTTCTGAGGATCCGACATGCTTTATGAATGCTAAGTAACCAATTTATATGTTCTCTAAGAAGTAACGACCATTAAAATTTTAATCAGGACAGGAGACCAAAGTTTACAGTCAAACTGTAGCATGTAGACAATTCCTGAGGCTTCTTTCTAGCTTTTACAAGCACACAAAGAGATGGCCCCAAAATTTAGAATCTGCCTTAACTAAAACACTGGTTGTGTGTATGATACTGATCCTTGCTTATGCCCCGAGTAGCAGCAGTCTTGTCTGCTCAGTGGGAAAGATGTGTTTTTTTAGCTCAGAGATTAAATTAATTCACAGATGTTAATGAGGTGCTCAGATTCTGACAGTGCTGATGAGGACTGAGGCAGGTTGCAAAGCAGAGCAGGCTGTCAGTGCTGATGCAGCACACCTGCAGGGCCCTCACCATGGTATCTTTTTGGTAATTAGTGGTGGGCTTGTGCAGTGACAGTGTGTCTGCTCCTTCACTCTCAGGTCTCAGGGTTTGTGGATTACCTAGAGCTTGTGGACTACCTGTGCTCCTTGAGCACAGCCCTTGAAGACAGTCTGCCCTGGCTAAGGAAGCTAGTCTGCGCTGTCATTGTAGTTCAGTGGCCTTTCCCAGGGAGAAAGGAGTGGGGTTCATCTATATGCTGATTTGAAGTTTAATACAAATACTATGAGTTAAAGAGGTTTGATTTTTTAATTGCCTTGTTAGGATGCATTTTAATTTGAGAAGAACGCACTTTAAAATAACTATTTTAAAGTAAGTGCGTGCTCAACATTGTTTTTTACTTTTGGTGGGGTTTTTTGGGTTGTTGTTTTGGGGTTTTTCTCTGCCAAAAACCCTGGGAACAGTTCCACTGTGGGATTTAAACACTTTCTCTATTTCTACAAAACAAAACCAAAAAACTCACAACTCTACCACCACCCTTCCTGCCCCCACAACACTGCAACACCCAGATCCTGAAGCTCTTGATTTACTGCAAGATCAAGACTTGCATGAAGTCGTTTGGCTCTGATCAAGATGAAATTCCCTCATTTGCTTCGAAGTGACTAGTTCTCTCCTATCAGCATGATAAAGAGGGAGTTGGGGTAGCATTTGTAAAGAAGGGAAAGTGCTGAATGCAGCTCTGTCTGGTTTCATTGTGTACAATTTTGGCTTTGCTGCTTTACTTGTGTCATCAATTCACACTCTTGGGTGTCGTGTTCCAAAATGTAGCCACAAGTAGCATGGACTCTTTGTTTTTAACTGGCACATGGTGTCATTCTTGACAAGATGTTCTCTCTGGTTATGATAATTTTTAACCTAATAGTTAATTGAAAGGGCTGTGTTGAATAGCAAAGCACTTTTGTGGTGTAAGTGTGATAGATAACAAAATCACAAATGAGAAATGTATATGGGTATATGAGAAAAAATGCTCTCATCAGATGGGTAGGATAATATTTAAGAACTCCAAATACTTATAAATTACTTGAATAATGTGTGATACAAAGTCCAGAAAAGGAAAGCATTCACCTACTAATTATTACCATCAATTCAGAGGATTTATTCAAATTTCCTGATTCCTATTATTTATGGCAGATGTCCAGCAAGCGTAAGTAGGGTAAGCTCTTGAGCCACATACTAGTAGCAAAAGCTGGACACAAACTGTACATTTTGTGTCTTTGAAATCACATTTCACACATGCCTATGATCTTTCATCTGCAGATATGCATTTAACGATCACCATGAGTGTGCAGTTCTAGCATTTCTTAAAAAATTCCTCTGTATTCTTGTTAAGAAAGCATTAATGAAAGAAAAGATATGAAGAAATACTATTTGGCCTTGACAGCAGACAATAAACCCAGTATTGCCACATTTTCAATTTCCCACCTCTGTAAAGTGATGTCTATATTGGGAAAATGAATAATGTTTGAAAGGAGGTGCCATTGCATGCCATTTTCTCATCTACTGAATATAGAGAATCTGTTCACACAGAAGGCCTGTGAAGTATGAATGAAGTATGAGATGAGCCCTGATTAGGACTGAAAAATATCCCTTCTCTGTAGTACCTGTACTGAACTTGGAATTTCCTGCAATCAGAAAGTGGCTAATAGTTTTTCTACATGGGTAGCAACTAGAACTACAGGACTAAGTATTTAGAAAATGTAAAGCTATCCTTATCAGATCAGGGCTACATGAAGGAGAATTTAATATTTGTAATGTTTGTATAGAGATTTATCTCGGAGCCACTTCTTTCATTTATATTATTTTCCAGTCTAATCTAATATTTGCTTGGAATCTTCCTTGTGTTCAATACTTCTTAGGTCTGTAATAAATAATCCAATTCAATTTAGAAAATAATAATGTTTTCCTCCAAATTCTAATAATCCTTTGATACAATCTGTCCCAGTTATGGTAACATGTAGTAATTTCCTTTCCTTTTCAATTTCTTTTCCCAGTTATTTTTTCTTTTCAATCTTTTTTTCTTTCTTTTTTTTTTTTTTTTTTTTTTTTTTTTTTTTATAAGAGGTTCTTTTGTTCCAAGGGTTTGAAACGGGTTGGCAGGGCTTTCTTGAATTCATGGTTCTATCATATTGTTTTCAATTTCTTTCTTTAATGTACTAGATATTATTCTTGAAAAATTACACATAATCACTAATGGATATTAAGTGCTGTCCAGCACAAACTTTTCATTCATTTATTTAAAGATATATGTAATAGACATCCTAGTTGTTTCTTCTTATTCAGTTATCTTGTGCAGCGCATACAAAAGAGAGCTTTGTGGATTCCTTATCAAGGATAATTCCTTTTCAGGTAGTATCCTTGTCAGAAGTTATGGAGTTTTTCTTAACACATGCATCACAGCAGATCCCTGATGAAATGGACTTGTTTCATCCTTAAGAGCTTCTTTGCCAGACTAAAGTTATGCTGTATTTCTCTGAAAACTCCTGAGTCATTCTTACTTTTGTAATGCTTACTTCCTGTCTTAGATATTTTGAAACCCCTGGGGATGAAGTTTAAACAAGTCGATCCATCCAAGCTCTGGTTGTTTCTAAAGTTTCACTTAATTTTCATACAAGTTAAACCCCTTCAGCATAATTTACCAGATTCATAGTGAGTCAGTACTGATATAAATAGCTTGGTATTTTTATAAGGTATTGTTTAATGGCCCCAGGGTTGTGGAGAGAAATGAAGGAAAAGAATTTGAGGTAGTTAATATCAGGGCTTCATAAAATGCATGTTCTAGCCATGTTTTCATCTGGGGCAGAGATCAACTTCTCAAGCCACTCCGACATGGACTGAGAACTGTCTTAGACATGTACACTGAGGAGAGAGATCAGTCCATGGGATGGTATCACCACGGTTAGTAACAGAGCTTTCTCAGATGTAAATCTTATATTCTATCTTCAGAGAAGGTATTAAAATTCTTAACCCTGTGGGAAATGCCACTTAAATATTTTTCCAAGCAAGGGAAGCTGTATTCTAGCAGTGATGGTTCATACAAGCAGCTCTTTTATAGACATCTGTTATGGTTATTTTAGCTATAAACAAACTTCCCTCTCTATGTGTTTGGCTTTCTAAAACTCCCTTGTAACACTATGCAGAATGCATGTTTGCTTCTCAGTTGGCTCTGGACCTTGGCTGACTTTTTACTTTACATACCAAGAATGCCAAGACATGTGCTTCCAATTTATCAGATCTTCCAAAGGTGTTCTCCATTTTGCTTCATTCACCCTCTTTTTCATTCTCTGATGTGGATACAGGTATCTAACTAGCTTTTGTCATTACATCCACAATTTAGGGACTTTTTTTAGGGGTGTGTGGTGCTTGGAAATTTTATCCCAGTTTCTCCAATTTAAATCTTTTGCTTCTGTTGAATGAATAATCACTTCTGTAGCGTAGTGCTTTATCAGCACAGTGTAAGCATCAGGTAAACATTAACACAGTTTTAATTGGAGTAGCTTAAGGGAACTTTTTTTACTACTGTAATTGTTTTAATAATACTAAGGATGCTTGTAATTTTAAACAAGAAAAAAAATGCAGAAAAAAATTCAGCATAAATTGTAAAAAAATGTAATATTACAGGTTTGTGGGGACCTACATATTATGTGTGCAGATGAGATCTGATCTCTACTGATATATTTTTTTGACTAGTTAAGATGTTTGGAGACCAAATTATTCTCTAGGAAAAAAATAATGTATTTTCTATGGGATAGATCTTATAAAGTGTAAGCTCAGCAAAACTGCTTCCCAGGATAGTCACGGACAGCTTAACTTTTTGGCATAATCTTATTCTACAAAGTCAAACAATATTTTTCTTTTCCAAACTAAAGTAAATTTTACTTAACCAAAGTAAATTTTACTTAATATTCCTTTTTGCTGTTAAGAGATAATAAATAGGTCAGTGATCTGTTCAGGCGAAAAGTTCTTAATTTATTTTGCTGGAGTTTTATGTCCTTCTGCTAGGAGACTCAGTACTGAACTGTAAAATGATTGCTATGCTAAGGACACTACTGTTAGAGAATCATTGGACTATTATTATGATTTCATTATTACTAAATATGGTTTACAACAACAATTATACAGCAATATGAGAAAGAACACTTGTTAGAGTGCTGTATGAGTGT